ACCAGAGCACTTTCGAACTAGTGGCAGCAAGAGAGAGAAGAGAGACTCACAGGCAGGCTGGGATGTTCCGAAGGCAGGCGTGGTTGTGGATGCCCCGAGCCCTCCGAACGAGGGGAGCGAGGCTGCTTTTGAGTCGACTCTAAAGTCACGACCAGAGCACTTTCGAACTAGTGGCAGCAAGAGAGAGAAGAGAGACTCACAGGCAGGCTGGGATGTTCCGAAGGCAGGCGTGGTTGTGGATGCCCCGAGCCCTCCGAACGAGGGGAGCGAGGCTGCTTTTGAGTCGACTCTAAAGTCACGACCAGAGCACTTTCGAACTAGTGGCAGCAAGAGAGAGAAGAGAGACTCACAGGCAGGCTGGGATGTTCCGAAGGCAGGCGTGGTTGTGGATGCCCCGAGCCCTCCGAACGAGGGGAGCGAGGCTGCTTTTGAGTCGACTCTAAAGTCACGACCAGAGCACTTTCGAACTAGTGGCAGCAAGAGAGAGAAGAGAGACTCACAGGCAGGCTGGGATGTTCCGAAGGCAGGCGTGGTTGTGGATGCCCCGAGCCCTCCGAACGAGGGGAGCGAGGCTGCTTTTGAGTCGACTCTAAAGTCACGACCAGAGCACTTTCGAACTAGTGGCAGCAAGAGAGAGAAGAGAGACTCACAGGCAGGCTGGGATGTTCCGAAGGCAGGCGTGGTTGTGGATGCCCCGAGCCCTCCGAACGAGGGGAGCGAGGCTGCTTTTGAGTCGACTCTAAAGTCACGACCAGAGCACTTTCGAACTAGTGGCAGCAAGAGAGAGAAGAGAGACTCACAGGCAGGCTGGGATGTTCCGAAGGCAGGCGTGGTTGTGGATGCCCCGAGCCCTCCGAACGAGGGGAGCGAGGCTGCTTTTGAGTCGACTCTAAAGTCACGACCAGAGCACTTTCGAACTAGTGGCAGCAAGAGAGAGAAGAGAGACTCACAGGCAGGCTGGGATGTTCCGAAGGCAGGCGTGGTTGTGGATGCCCCGAGCCCTCCGAACGAGGGGAGCGAGGCTGCTTTTGAGTCGACTCTAAAGTCACGACCAGAGCACTTTCGAACTAGTGGCAGCAAGAGAGAGAAGAGAGACTCACAGGCAGGCTGGGATGTTCCGAAGGCAGGCGTGGTTGTGGATGCCCCGAGCCCTCCGAACGAGGGGAGCGAGGCTGCTTTTGAGTCGACTCTAAAGTCACGACCAGAGCACTTTCGAACTAGTGGCAGCAAGAGAGAGAAGAGAGACTCACAGGCAGGCTGGGATGTTCCGAAGGCAGGCGTGGTTGTGGATGCCCCGAGCCCTCCGAACGAGGGGAGCGAGGCTGCTTTTGAGTCGACTCTAAAGTCACGACCAGAGCACTTTCGAACTAGTGGCAGCAAGAGAGAGAAGAGAGACTCACAGGCAGGCTGGGATGTTCCGAAGGCAGGCGTGGTTGTGGATGCCCCGAGCCCTCCGAACGAGGGGAGCGAGGCTGCTTTTGAGTCGACTCTAAAGTCACGACCAGAGCACTTTCGAACTAGTGGCAGCAAGAGAGAGAAGAGAGACTCACAGGCAGGCTGGGATGTTCCGAAGGCAGGCGTGGTTGTGGATGCCCCGAGCCCTCCGAACGAGGGGAGCGAGGCTGCTTTTGAGTCGACTCTAAAGTCACGACCAGAGCACTTTCGAACTAGTGGCAGCAAGAGAGAGAAGAGAGACTCACAGGCAGGCTGGGATGTTCCGAAGGCAGGCGTGGTTGTGGATGCCCCGAGCCCTCCGAACGAGGGGAGCGAGGCTGCTTTTGAGTCGACTCTAAAGTCACGACCAGAGCACTTTCGAACTAGTGGCAGCAAGAGAGAGAAGAGAGACTCACAGGCAGGCTGGGATGTTCCGAAGGCAGGCGTGGTTGTGGATGCCCCGAGCCCTCCGAACGAGGGGAGCGAGGCTGCTTTTGAGTCGACTCTAAAGTCACGACCAGAGCACTTTCGAACTAGTGGCAGCAAGAGAGAGAAGAGAGACTCACAGGCAGGCTGGGATGTTCCGAAGGCAGGCGTGGTTGTGGATGCCCCGAGCCCTCCGAACGAGGGGAGCGAGGCTGCTTTTGAGTCGACTCTAAAGTCACGACCAGAGCACTTTCGAACTAGTGGCAGCAAGAGAGAGAAGAGAGACTCACAGGCAGGCTGGGATGTTCCGAAGGCAGGCGTGGTTGTGGATGCCCCGAGCCCTCCGAACGAGGGGAGCGAGGCTGCTTTTGAGTCGACTCTAAAGTCACGACCAGAGCACTTTCGAACTAGTGGCAGCAAGAGAGAGAAGAGAGACTCACAGGCAGGCTGGGATGTTCCGAAGGCAGGCGTGGTTGTGGATGCCCCGAGCCCTCCGAACGAGGGGAGCGAGGCTGCTTTTGAGTCGACTCTAAAGTCACGACCAGAGCACTTTCGAACTAGTGGCAGCAAGAGAGAGAAGAGAGACTCACAGGCAGGCTGGGATGTTCCGAAGGCAGGCGTGGTTGTGGATGCCCCGAGCCCTCCGAACGAGGGGAGCGAGGCTGCTTTTGAGTCGACTCTAAAGTCACGACCAGAGCACTTTCGAACTAGTGGCAGCAAGAGAGAGAAGAGAGACTCACAGGCAGGCTGGGATGTTCCGAAGGCAGGCGTGGTTGTGGATGCCCCGAGCCCTCCGAACGAGGGGAGCGAGGCTGCTTTTGAGTCGACTCTAAAGTCACGACCAGAGCACTTTCGAACTAGTGGCAGCAAGAGAGAGAAGAGAGACTCACAGGCAGGCTGGGATGTTCCGAAGGCAGGCGTGGTTGTGGATGCCCCGAGCCCTCCGAACGAGGGGAGCGAGGCTGCTTTTGAGTCGACTCTAAAGTCACGACCAGAGCACTTTCGAACTAGTGGCAGCAAGAGAGAGAAGAGAGACTCACAGGCAGGCTGGGATGTTCCGAAGGCAGGCGTGGTTGTGGATGCCCCGAGCCCTCCGAACGAGGGGAGCGAGGCTGCTTTTGAGTCGACTCTAAAGTCACGACCAGAGCACTTTCGAACTAGTGGCAGCAAGAGAGAGAAGAGAGACTCACAGGCAGGCTGGGATGTTCCGAAGGCAGGCGTGGTTGTGGATGCCCCGAGCCCTCCGAACGAGGGGAGCGAGGCTGCTTTTGAGTCGACTCTAAAGTCACGACCAGAGCACTTTCGAACTAGTGGCAGCAAGAGAGAGAAGAGAGACTCACAGGCAGGCTGGGATGTTCCGAAGGCAGGCGTGGTTGTGGATGCCCCGAGCCCTCCGAACGAGGGGAGCGAGGCTGCTTTTGAGTCGACTCTAAAGTCACGACCAGAGCACTTTCGAACTAGTGGCAGCAAGAGAGAGAAGAGAGACTCACAGGCAGGCTGGGATGTTCCGAAGGCAGGCGTGGTTGTGGATGCCCCGAGCCCTCCGAACGAGGGGAGCGAGGCTGCTTTTGAGTCGACTCTAAAGTCACGACCAGAGCACTTTCGAACTAGTGGCAGCAAGAGAGAGAAGAGAGACTCACAGGCAGGCTGGGATGTTCCGAAGGCAGGCGTGGTTGTGGATGCCCCGAGCCCTCCGAACGAGGGGAGCGAGGCTGCTTTTGAGTCGACTCTAAAGTCACGACCAGAGCACTTTCGAACTAGTGGCAGCAAGAGAGAGAAGAGAGACTCACAGGCAGGCTGGGATGTTCCGAAGGCAGGCGTGGTTGTGGATGCCCCGAGCCCTCCGAACGAGGGGAGCGAGGCTGCTTTTGAGTCGACTCTAAAGTCACGACCAGAGCACTTTCGAACTAGTGGCAGCAAGAGAGAGAAGAGAGACTCACAGGCAGGCTGGGATGTTCCGAAGGCAGGCGTGGTTGTGGATGCCCCGAGCCCTCCGAACGAGGGGAGCGAGGCTGCTTTTGAGTCGACTCTAAAGTCACGACCAGAGCACTTTCGAACTAGTGGCAGCAAGAGAGAGAAGAGAGACTCACAGGCAGGCTGGGATGTTCCGAAGGCAGGCGTGGTTGTGGATGCCCCGAGCCCTCCGAACGAGGGGAGCGAGGCTGCTTTTGAGTCGACTCTAAAGTCACGACCAGAGCACTTTCGAACTAGTGGCAGCAAGAGAGAGAAGAGAGACTCACAGGCAGGCTGGGATGTTCCGAAGGCAGGCGTGGTTGTGGATGCCCCGAGCCCTCCGAACGAGGGGAGCGAGGCTGCTTTTGAGTCGACTCTAAAGTCACGACCAGAGCACTTTCGAACTAGTGGCAGCAAGAGAGAGAAGAGAGACTCACAGGCAGGCTGGGATGTTCCGAAGGCAGGCGTGGTTGTGGATGCCCCGAGCCCTCCGAACGAGGGGAGCGAGGCTGCTTTTGAGTCGACTCTAAAGTCACGACCAGAGCACTTTCGAACTAGTGGCAGCAAGAGAGAGAAGAGAGACTCACAGGCAGGCTGGGATGTTCCGAAGGCAGGCGTGGTTGTGGATGCCCCGAGCCCTCCGAACGAGGGGAGCGAGGCTGCTTTTGAGTCGACTCTAAAGTCACGACCAGAGCACTTTCGAACTAGTGGCAGCAAGAGAGAGAAGAGAGACTCACAGGCAGGCTGGGATGTTCCGAAGGCAGGCGTGGTTGTGGATGCCCCGAGCCCTCCGAACGAGGGGAGCGAGGCTGCTTTTGAGTCGACTCTAAAGTCACGACCAGAGCACTTTCGAACTAGTGGCAGCAAGAGAGAGAAGAGAGACTCACAGGCAGGCTGGGATGTTCCGAAGGCAGGCGTGGTTGTGGATGCCCCGAGCCCTCCGAACGAGGGGAGCGAGGCTGCTTTTGAGTCGACTCTAAAGTCACGACCAGAGCACTTTCGAACTAGTGGCAGCAAGAGAGAGAAGAGAGACTCACAGGCAGGCTGGGATGTTCCGAAGGCAGGCGTGGTTGTGGATGCCCCGAGCCCTCCGAACGAGGGGAGCGAGGCTGCTTTTGAGTCGACTCTAAAGTCACGACCAGAGCACTTTCGAACTAGTGGCAGCAAGAGAGAGAAGAGAGACTCACAGGCAGGCTGGGATGTTCCGAAGGCAGGCGTGGTTGTGGATGCCCCGAGCCCTCCGAACGAGGGGAGCGCCTGCATGCGCGGTGAGTAAGTGCGTGCGACACATGGGATGGGCGAGAACGGCCACGCCCAAGGAGAAATGAGGCGACAAGGCAAAGGAAAAAGCTTATGTGTGAAAAGAAGCAGAGGTGACATCAAGGCCATGCCATGCCACGACCAGAGAACGAGAGGATCAGAGAGAACCAAAGATTTGTGCGACGGTGTATGCGTGTGCGTGCGAGAGAGAGCAAGAGCGAAGGGGAGACAAGAGAAGAGAGAAAACCAGACACAAAGAGACACACACACGTACCGAGGACTGAGTGAGACCAGCCGGTTTGGTCTGGAACGCTCCTCCAAACCCAAACGCCGAACCAGTGGATGTGCCAAACAACCCCGCACCAGTCGTGCCGCCCGCTCCTGCCGCCCCTCCAAACAGGCTCCCCCCTGCCGCACCAAACCCTGGCGCCGAACCAGCAGCTCCGGCCGTGCCAAACCCGAACCCAAGCCCAGTCGAGCCCGCAGCAGGCGTGGAGCTTCCAAACAGCCCTCCTCCCGTTGCTGCCCCGGTCCCAAACAGTGACGGCGTGGCACCAAACGCCGGGGTAGCAGCAGCAGCGCCGGGAGTCCCAAACGCGCTGGCACCAAAGGCGGGAGACGAGGCACCGAAGAGTGAAGCCCCAGGCTGTCCCGCCGCGCCTGCTTGCCCCAAAGGCGAGGTCCCTCCGAAAAGAGACGCGCCGGTGGACGCGCCAAAGGGGGAGGCGGTGGCAGCAGCAGGCGAGCCGAAGAGCGACGGGGTTGATGCTGCAGCTCCGAACGGGCTGCTCGCAGTGGCGCCAGCAGCGCCGAACAGAGACCCTCCCGTGGCTCCGAAGGCCGGGGAGGATGCAGCGCCGAAGGCCGGGGTTGACGAGCCGAAGAGGGACGGGGAAGTTGACGCGCCGAACGCGGGCGTGGCGCCAGGCGCGGCCGCGCCAAACGCCGGAGCCGCCGAGCCGAACAGGCTCGGCGTGGACGCCTGGCCGAACGGGTTGGCAGCTGTGGAGCCAAACGCCGGGGCAGCAGCAGCTGCACCAAACGGAGACGCTGCTGCTGCTGGCTGGCCGAAGAGGCCTCCTCCTGCCTGTGCTGGTGCCGGCCCGCCCTTGTCTCCCCTCTGATAATCCTCCCAGCGGAGCTCCTCTGGGCTCTTGGCTTTGTAGGCGGGCATGGCTGATATGGAGATGAATTTGCCGAGCTGGCCCGCTGTGCCGGTTTCTGTGTCGTTGGTGGGCGTGTAAGCGGGGTTTCTGCTGCCTGTGCCTGCCGCGGCTGCTGCTCCGAAGGGTGTGGCTCCGAACGTGGTTGCTCCGAACGCAGGCGCTGATGCTGGGAGGAGGGTGGGGGAGCAGAGGGGGGGGGGGGGGGGGGGGGGGGAACGGGAGTGAGTGGGAGGAAATGGGAGGAGAATGAGAATGAAGAGTAGGGGCGGAGCAGGGAAAACGAAAAGGTGAAGGAGTGCGGACGAGACAGCATGAACAGAGACGAGGACATGGAGGGCTGTAAGGGGGAAGCTGGGGGGGAAAAGGATTGGCAAGGGCACGGCAGCGAGAGGATTGGCAAGGGCATGGCAGCAGGGGCAGGAGGGCAGCACTCGTACCTTCGAAGCTGCGCGACGCGAGACTGCCGAAAGCAGGCGCGGAGGGGGAAGAGGAGAGTGGGCGGGGAGGGTGTTCGGAGGAGGGGGGGTGGATAATGGGGAGTGGGAGCGGAAGGGCATGGCAGCAGAGCGCAGCACACGTACCTCCGAAGCTGGGGGATGAGAGGCTGCCGAAAGCAGGCGCGGACGCAGCGCCGAACGCGGACGTGCCAGTCGACCCGAACAGCCCCCCCGTCGCCCCGAACGCCGGCGCGCTCGCCGCGCCGAACGCGGGCGTCGTCGCCGTCGCGCCGAACGCGGGCGGGGACGCGCCGAACGCGGGAGCGGCGGCGCCGAACGCGGGCGCGGCGCCAGTGGCGGCGCCGAAGGTAGGCGTGGTGGCGGTGGAGCCGAACGCCCCGCCTGCTCCGAACGCCGGCTGGGACTGTTGGCCGAAAGCGGGCGCGCCGAAGGGATTGGCCTGGGTTTGCCCAAACGTGCCGAACGCTGCTGGCTTCTGCTGCTGCCCGAACAGCGACGAGCCTGTTGGCGTGAGGTGGCGTGGGAGAAAAGAAGAATAAGCGAAGGAGTGAGGAGAAGATGATCCTAGCAATAAAATTGGCAGTGAATGGGGAGAATATGGATTCAAGATATGCGAGCCAACAGGTTGGATACGAAACGCAGTGCGGCAGCGCAGAAGGAATTTAGCAACCGTTGCTGTTTCTAATGCGCTTTGAGACCCACGTACGCCGGACAAACCTGTTAAGAGTCGACTCAATACACGCTTGGGACCCATGTACGCCGAACAAACCACACGCGGATCGCGTTCTTAAAAATCGCGAACACCGCTTACCGCCGGCAAGAACCGCTTACCGCAGCCCAATACCGCTTACACCGCCAAGCACCGCTTACCGCCGCCAAAAGGTGAAGCCGTGGACCCAAACGCTGGAGTCGACGCCGCTGCGCCGAAAGCAGGCGCGGACGTCGCGCCGAAGGCGGGCGCAGAAGTCGCGCCGAACACGCTTCCTGTTGCCGCCCCTCCGCCGAAGAGTGATGTGCCCGCCTGGCCGAACGGACTGGCGGGAGTTGCGGACGCGCCGAAGGCGGACGAGGCGCCGAAAGGGGACGCCGGCTGCGCCGCGCCAAACGGAGAGCCCCCCGCCGGGGCGAAAGGGTTCGCCATGGCTAGATGCTAGCGTGAAGGATTAGGGTTTGAAGTGACTGGATGCTGGATAGAAGGGTTTGAGGTGACTGGAAGCTGGAAGTCAAAATTTGGTATGGTGTAATCAAGGCAAATCTGCTATTTTTGTCTGCATGGCGTAGGGAATTTAAAGAGATCTATGAGCGATAGGTGAAGAGGAGAAGTAGCGAGGTGTGGCGAGGTTGCACATTAGCTCCACAACTAACCTGGATAACTCCGTGAATTACCTGGATAAGCGCACCTAAAAACCAGTCACGAAACTCGAGGAGCTCACGTAGGGTCCGCCATTCGGAAAATAAGAGCGTCTGACGACGGCAATGTTCATACCCTTGATCAGCTAGCACGCAACCATCACGCGCCCGTTCTACGTACTGCTTGTGGTGGTATTGATAGTTCTGATCCAGAAGTAGCACCTTGGATCAGCCTTGGGAGGAACAACCTCGAGAGCAGATCTTGGCCTGAAGCACACGGGGAGGTACAGGAGCGCTGTGTCATGGTGCTGCTGATTATGAAGCTTTGATTGGTAGTGAGCGAAACGAAGCGACGGGATTTGCGTGCACGAACGCCAAACCTCCTGTAACACGCTTCCCACGAACCAATACGTTCCAGCAGCCGAGCACGCAACAAGGCGGGAAAGCGAAGACTTTAGTTGAAGCTTCGAGTAACATTGTTACATATTCAAAAGCACTCGGTAAATGTCGTGAACCAAAGAACACACAAAACTTTCCATAAAGTGTTAAGTATGACGGGGCGTGTTGATACGAGGACGCGTTATGTCATTCTTGAGGACCAAATCACCTTGGCAAGTCAAGCACTTCGTAGAATAGAAACCTATTTACCTAACCTGCACTCTTGTCAAATCTTACAAACTGGTAAGGCAATAAGATAAAGATACCGTTCGGTCAACGAAGCCAGTGGAATAAAATACTGCTCACCATGTCAAGTTGGTGCGAGGCGTCTCCTCATTTCCGCCATGGGTCCTGCTTCGTGTGGAAGTGAGCAAGTGCTTGTAGGTGTCACGGAGAGCTCGTTTTTACCACACGCCCTAAGATCACCTCGGCGGCAGAACCTGTAGCCGTCGCTGAGACTCATTTGAACGTTCAGGCCGCGTCCGTTCCACCGTCGTCTAACCGCTTAGCCGTTCTTTCACTTTTAGAATCCTCCTACTCGTCCGTCCGTCCGTCCGTCCGTCCGTCCGTCTGACCGACCGTCCGACCGTCCGTCCGTCCGTCCATCCGTCCATCCGTCGGTCCGTCCGTCGGTGCGGCCGCCATGGGACCGCGGCAAGGCGTGCGTGCGAGTCGGCGCGTGGCGGCTCACACGCGGCTGCTCGTTCTCCTCTGCCTCGTCCTCGCCGCATCTGCCGCTCGCACAGCTGGTCACCGCGGCTCTGGTCAGTGCCCGCGCAATCTCTCCCGTTGCCCGCGCGCCCTCGCCCGTTGCCCTGGCGCTATCGTCCTATCTTCCTCGCCCTATTTGCCCTATCACTCCGGTTTCTCTTCCCACTTCCCTCTCCTCTGTTCTGCAACTTTCCCCTTTCCTTTTCTCCTTTCACTTCACCTCCTGCCCTGCTCGCAATCCTTCCTCCCCACCTCCCTCGCCTGCCCTATTCCCCTAGTTCAACCCCTACGCCTCCAATCTCTCACATCCTCGCGTCCTCCGGCCCACCCTCCCATCCCACCCCTTAGGGTGCTCTCAACGCTAAAGCTCCCCCCTTCCCCTCGTCCATTGCTTCCGCTCGCCCTGTCTCCCGCTTCCTTGATCACCCCCCTTGGTCCCCGCTTGTTCCCCCTTGATCCCCCCTCTCCGTGTTGGCCCCCCCTGGGTCGCCCCTCCGCCCCCCCTCTTCCCGACCCTCCCCACCCTGGCTGTTCACTTGCAGGACGTCAATGGGGTAAGCACAGCAGCAGCAGCAGCATTCGGCACAGTCGGAGCAGCAGCCGTGGTGGCAGCAGCAACAGTGAAGGTAGCAGCAGCAGCAGCAGCAGCACCAGCAGCACCAGCAGCACCGACAGCACTAGCAGCAGCAGTAGCATAACCAGCAGCAGCACTGTCAACCCACCGGCACTTCCTCCTCTCCCTCCTCCTGCCGCACCTCCTTCCCCTCTTGCTCACGAACAAGCACAGGCTCCTTCTTCAAAGCAACAGCCCACTGCAGGCTCCGCAGGTTCGACAGGCTCGGCAGGTTCGGCAGGTTCAACAGGTTCGGCAGGTTCAACGGGTTCGGCAGGTTCAACAGGTTCGGCAGGCTCAACAGGTTCGACAGGTTCAACGGGTTCAGCAGGTTCAACAGGTTCGGCAGGTTCGGCAGCATCGCACCAACCGCTGGTGCCTTTAACCGAGGCGCAAGCGGAAGGTGAGCGGCAATCCCCTTCTGCGTTGAATGCGGACGCAGGTGAAGCGCAGGGATTAGCAGAAGCAGAAGCGCAGCAGCCAGCCAAGGCACCGCGAGTAGCACCGCAGCAGCTAGGCACACCGCCATTGCCTAAGAAGGGAGAGGAGAATGGTGCTGGAGAGGGGGAAAGGGGGGGAGAAGGAGAGAACGAAGGAGAGGGGGTGAAGGAGGGAGAAAGCGAGAAGGAAGGAGAGGAGGAAAAGGAAGGAGAGAACGAGAATGAAGGAGAGAGCGGGAAGGAAGGAGAGGAAGAGAAGGAAGGAGAGGAGGAGAAGGAAGGAGCTGGGGAGGAGGAAGGAAAAGGGGAGAAGGAACGAGAAGGCGAGAAAGAGGGAGAGAGTGAAGGGGAGGAGGGGAGAGAGGGAGAGGGGGATAAAGGAGAGCCTGAAAAGGAAGGAGATGCGGACATGGCGGGGAAGGCAGCAAAAGAGTCAGAGGCGGGAAATCAACAAGCACAGGCACAAGAACAAATAAACACCAACCAGCAAGCCAAGCCGCAACAACAAGCAGCACCCCCATTGACGCTGCAGCAGGCTGACGCGCTGGTAACCCTATCGCAAGACGTGCACGAGGCAGCAGATCTGCCAGAAGATTCCCAGAAGGTGCTGCTGGGCGGCATGGGGGCGGCGCTGGTAGCAGCCAAGATGTGGCCGTGTAACCTGTTTGGGGGCCAGGCGGCATGCCGACCAGTAGCAGGCATTGGCCGGGGCAATGGAGCACCGAAGACGGGAACAGGAGGGGCAAGAGGCGAGGAGAAAGAGGAGAAGGAGGAGGGGAGTGTGAGTGTGGGGATGATGCAGCAGTGCGCCGTTGACCTGGTCAACCCTACGGTTGACTGCGCGTACACGCTAGAGGAGCAGGAGGGGCAGGCTCAAGACCCGGACGTGGTGGTGCGAGCAAGGTTGCAGCAGGAGGGGTACGACCCGCCCTGTGAGCCGTGCCTGCAGGCGCTGCACCGCTTCTCGTGTGGCCAGACCGTGCCCACTTGTGGCACCTTTGAGAAGATCGTGGACGAAGTCCTGGTGAGTGTGGGTCCCTGGTTTGCTGTCCAGATTTGAGGCACCTCAAAACTAGACCCACCTTTGAGAAGATAGTGGACGAAGTGCTGGTGAGTGCGGGTGCTCCCTGGTTTGCTGTCCAGATTTGAGGCACCTCAAAACTAGACCCACCTTTGAGAAGATAGTGGACGAAGTGCTGGTGAGTGCGGTTCCCGGGTTTTCCAATGTTGCACAGTTGTCAGTTGTCTGGGCCCCTGCGGTTGAGGCTATGAGGGGCAGGCGCTTTAGAGGAGCAGGAGGGGCAGGCGCTAGACCCGGACGTGGTGGTGCGAGCAAGGTTGCAGCAGGAGGGGTACAGCCCGCCCTGTGAGCCGTGCCTGCAGGCGCTGCACCGCTTCTCGTGTGGCCAGACCGTGCCCACTTGTGGCACCTTTGAGAAGATCGTGGACGAAGTCCTGGTGAGTGTGGGTCCCTGGTTTGCCCCTCTCACAAAGATCCCTGGCTTGACGCGAGGGATTTTCGTCTATGAATGCTCACTCCGTTTCTTTTCTCCCCTCCTCCCAACGTCCATTCACCTCACACCAGCCAGAGTTGCGCTAGATAGTAGCAGGCCAGGAGAAGCCTCACAAAGCCAGGTGGCTGAGAACTCTGTTCCCCCTTATAATCCCTTTATCGCACACCCGTTCTCATCCCACCGCTGCCGGCCAGAGCTGTGCCAGATCACGATGGGCCAGGAGAAGCCTGACAGAGCAGGTGTTTGCTGTCATTGTGATGCTCAAGTGCTCTTATCTTTTCCTTCCCTCCACTTATCACCCCGCCACCAGCCGGAGCTGCGCCAGATAACAACTGGCCAGGAGAAGCCTGACGAGCTCATAGAAGCCGCCCTCCCTCGCATGCTCGCAGCTTTTTCTCTCGGGCTGCCCTGCAAAGAGATGTGCCTCGAAGTCACCTCGCTCTGTAGCTGCGGCCAGATCACCACCTTCGGGCAGGCGATGGAGTTTTTGGAGGCTGCCCGTCCAGGCAAGGAGCCTGATGTAAGGGTGCCCGTTGGATTCACAACGGGGATGTCGAATCGGACGGCTGAGAAGATCTTCAATCATGTCTGGGATCGCCACGTCTGTGACCTCTTCTCTCCTTCAGTAAGTCTCTTCCCCCTTGTCTCAGCTTTCCCGCTCTTCACTCAGCTTTCCTCTCCTTCAGCTCTCACTGACACTCTCACTGTCACTCTCACACGCCCTGGCTGCTGCTGGCACTGACAGGATATGCCGGGTTGTGCGGGCAAGTGCTGCTACAAACACACACAAGAGGATGTTTCTTTTGAGTCGACTCAATAATTAGTTCGGCTTTTACCAGCACTACACCAAACCGTCAACCTCTCTCTCTCTCTCTCTCTCTCTCTCTCTCTCTCTCTCTCTCTCTCTCTCTCTCTCTCTCTCTCTCTCTCTCACTATGGCTGCTGCTGGTACTGGCAGGATATGCCGGGTTTCGAGGGCAAGTGCTACAAGCACACACGAGAGGAGGTCATGGCGCAGGCGGGGGGCTGTGATTGGTGCAAGGGAGATGCAGACAGGCCCGATGAGATGGCAGTG